GGGGGGGGGGGGGGGGGGGGGGAGCCGGGGCCGGCCGTGGCCAGGGGACGAGGGGCGCAGGCAGGGATCAGGGCGGGTGGTGCGCGCGGGAAGGGGGAGGGTGGCTTGGGGCGACCCGCCGCCGGCTTATGGCCCGGGGCGTCGGAGCTTACAGCCCGGGCGTGTGGGGCGCCGTGCGCCCAGCGGCCGCGCCCCAAAAGGGCCGCCCCTCCCCGCTGACCGAAGGACCTGGGTGAAGGGCCAGTGCCCTAGAGACAAACGAGCTGTCGCGCTCACCGCCTCGTGCGCTTTCTTTTGGGCCGTGAGCTCCGCCAGCCGCTGCTCCAGGGCCTTGACCTGCGGGGCCGGGATTTGAGGTTGGGGTTTCGCGGTTCAGGGGCTGCAGGTTGAGTGCGGGCTTCGATGCCTTGAATCAGGACAGTTGGGGTGCGGGACAGAGTGTGGTGCACACAACATACGCAAGACACAACACGCTTGGGGCCGAGATCGGGCCGGTCCGCGGCAAACCGCCGGGGCCGTCGGCGAGGCGCGGACGCCAAAGCGTGGCATGCTCAACCATGAGCCGTGGCGCCCCCAACCCCTCGCGGGCTTGGGGCCGCGAGCCAGGTGTGTGCGCGCCTTTTGGTGTGACCCGATCTTGTTGCGCATCGGGTCGCTGAAGCCGCCGCTGACGGTGCCCTTGCGCCGCACGAGGTCGCCGTCGAGCGTGATGGCGTCGAGGACGCCCCCGCTGGCCACCTGGCGATGTGAATGAGTGTGTGTGTGTGTGTGTGTGTGTGTGTGTGTGTGTGTGTGTGTGTGTGTGCGCATGTGCGTGTGCGCGCGCGCGTGTGTGTGTCAGTAAATGTGTGGGTATTACGTGTGTGTGTGTGTGTGTGTGTGTGTGTGTGTGTGAGTGTGTGTCAGTGTATGTGTGGGCATGTCTGCGGAAGGGGGGTGGTGCGTTCCCAGGAGTCGTGGCGTCGTGCTAGCGGGGGTGGAAAAAGAAAACATGCATGCAATTGGTGATCATGCCTGAGAATGTGAGCGAGCGGCCTACGCGGCGCCGCGCGGTTGCGCTGCTGCAGTAAGGCTGCAGAGGAGGGAGGAAGGCGAGGCCCCCCCGTGCTCCGACGACCCCTGCCCCCCCAGCGCCCCACCTTCTCCGCGATCTCCCGCGTCTGGCACACCAGCGTCTTGCCAAACACCTGGCGGTGGTGGTTTCAACGCGGCGGTGCGTGGGTTCGACGCGCGCATGTATCCTGGGGGTCGCGCTGCTCACGCCCGCAGGCCCGTCGCCGGCCTCCTTGGCCGCACCCACCCCCCACAGCCCCTGGTGCGCGCGACCTGCTGCTGCAGGCACGGCGCACTCCAGCAGCCCCGCACGACGCGCGGGGAGCTCCCGCGTCACCGGACGTCGTCATCCCCGCACCTGCATGACGGCCGTCTTGAAGCGCTCGTCATACTTCAGCACGCGGTGCATCGGCACCGCCGCGTCCCCCCACTCCGTAGGGTACGCCACCTGGCAGCGGGGGCGCGCAGGGACGTTTGACGGTGGGAGCAGCCGGCAGCCAGACTGACTGGCGGCCGCGCTGGGGCTAAACTCCAAAAGATGAGGGGTCACAAGGCATGGCGTTGAAATGCAGAGGCGCTACTTGCGGCAAACTTGGCTACATTAAACCCTGATCGCGGGTGGGGGTGCCATTTGGGAGGCTAAGGAGAGGGGGCAGGCGCGGGCGGGCGCATGGGCGCACCTCCTGCACCCTCAGCGCGTCGAGCGGCATGAACGTGACGCGCCCGCTGCGCTGCCGGTTCAGCTCCTGCACCAGTCGCATGCCCGTGTCAGTCGTGTCCACCACCACCTGAAGCGGCAGCAAGGGGCCCGCGCCCAACAGACATGAGGCGCACAGCCGAGAGGGTCCAGCCGCGAGGGTGCAGCCGTGAGGGTGCAGCCGTGAGCGGGCCCTGAGAGTGGGGGCGCACGCCCGGGCCCGCTGCCGGGGAGCACCCGCCTTCCTTGCTATTGGTCCGTCCTTATTGCAGCAGCCTGCTCGCGGCAACCGGGGCCGCCCCGCCGACCCACGCGGCACGCCGGGACCAGGGAGCGGCCCCCACGGCACGCGCCGCCGGCCGCGCCTGAGCCGGGCCCGAGCCGAGCGCGCCCACCTGGAAGGCTTGGTTGCCGCAGACCACCTCGACCGCTGTGGACAGCTGCGCCGGCACCTCCAGCAGGTCAGCCAGGGAGCCATACACGCCCTGCAATAGTTTGGTTTGGGAGGGGGCCAAGGGGGGGGAGAGATGGGGCGGGCTGGGATGAGTGACATTCACGGCAGTTGCGTCTAGGGGGTGTTGAGGGCGAGTGCAGCAAGGGAGCGGGGACGGCTCGTGCGACGGGGTGCGGCAGAACCTGGAGCTGGGGCGGGCGCTGCAGGGGAAAGAGGGGCTTTGCTCGCTGCCCTGTGGGAGGGCCTTATCAGCCGTGGGCGCATGCCCCAGCCCCCGCCCCCTGCGCAGGCACCTTGATGTTGTGGGCGCGGCGCGCCGCCTCCATGGCCATGATGCCCATGCTGATGTCACGCGGGATCACGCGCTGGGCGGCCTAGGGTTTGTGGGGGGGCGAGAGTGAGGGGAGAGTGATGATGGGGATGGGCCGTTCACACACATTGTAGGTTGAAGGGTACCAGGCAACTGGATTGCAGGCAGGAATCGTGCTGACCGCCTCAGCAGCAGTCAGAAGAGGGTGTCGCCAGGGTGCGGCGTCTCTCGGCCCCGGCCGCGTCGCCGCGGCCTGCTTGGGGCCGACGGCACGCTGTCGGGCGCTCAATGCGTGGTGCCGGTGCGCGCACCTCGCGTGCGCGCGCGTGTTCGCTCTCCGCTGCGCGGAACTGGTCCTTCAGCTCGTCCGCGGCGCGCCACGCCTCCTTGCGCTGGTTGGCGGCCTGGCGGCGGCGGGCGCGGTTGGGTTGGGCGGCGGCGGCGCGAGTTCGACAGTCGGCGCCGCACCACACCTGCCCCTGGATGGTGCGCCCACCCCGACGCGGCAAGAGCCTGGGCCGGCACGCGCGAACAAACAGAGCAACCAACACGAGGCCGGACCCACCACGTCGCAACCCTGCCGCACCCCTGCTGGCGCCCCGCCTCTCAACTCTCAACGCCGCGACTACCTCCGACTCATACTCGGCCCCCCAAACCCACGCGCACACCCACCCAACCCACCTCGTCCCGGGCCTTCTTCAGCTCCGCCAGCTGCCTCGACACCGCCTCGAGCGCCCCCGCCGCGTCCCGCGCCACCTGCTCCTTGTCGCCCGCAGCCTGGAGGCGCAGGTGGAGGGGAGTGGGGGCAGGAGGTGGGCGCATGAGGCCGCGATTTGGTTGGCCCGCCAAGCCGGTGGTGTTTTATTCTTCCCGGCGAGCTGCGGCGCAGCTGAGATCCGACCAGGGGTTACTGGTACTGCTGGGCGGCTCAAGGTGGACGCGTGCGGTCAACTCCAGCGCCCGTCGCCCGGACCCTGCACCTGAGCGCCGGCCATGAGAACCGCGTTGAGCTCCTCCACCTGCTGCTGCAGCGCCGCACGCGCGCTCTCCTGCTTGGCCGCCGCGTCCTGCAGTTTCTTGGCCTCCCCCTGGGCTCCGCGGGTGCGCACCCGTGTGGATCAGGAGACAGCACCATGAGCGTTGATTGAGTCGAGGTGACGACGCCAGGCGGCACGCGTGCCGGCGCGCTGCGAGTCTGCGCCCGTTGCTCGACGAAGTCGTCCCTGCCTTGCGCTTACAAGCCGCTCTCACCGCATTTTTAGTGCTTCCGGTATTAGATGGCGCCCGCAGCCTGGGCCAGCCCTCCCAAAAACGAACACGCAACGCACCTTGAGGAAGGCGTCCCGCTCCCCCTGGCTGGCAAACTGGCTGGAGCGCCCCTGCTTTGACATCAGCGCCTGCAGCCGCCCCTGGCTGGACGACAGCTCATCGTGCACCTGGTGGCACCGCAACGTTTGATTATGGACGCGGAGGCGCTGACCCCTAATTCACTCTTAGCATCACACAGCGCAGTGTGAGACAATCGCGCACCCGCACCCCTTGCCCGCGTAGCAGCCCCGGATGACACCTTTGCCGGCTGGTGACGCCCAGCAAGCCCGATTGCACGATTCGCGACTCAGCGCATTACGCAGCGAACAGGCTGCCAGAGCGCAGCGCTTGCGGCCTGCAACCCACAACTGGTTTGACCCGCACACCTCCTTTTCGCGCTTCCGTTTCTCCTCGAGCGCCGTGGCCGCTGCCACGCACTGCCTCTCCGCATCTGCAATCTGCTTGTACAGCCGCGCCAGCTCCGCCTTTGCGGCCGTGGATGACTCGGTATCTGTGGGCACGGCGTAGTGCAGCGGCAGCAGCACCAAAAAAACTTGACTGCCACTGCAGACCTCTGCGGAGCAACCTCTTTGCTGCTGCCATCGGGCCAAACCCCGAGACAGCACAGCACACGGCAGCGAAAGCACGGTAAGGCGGGCCCCATGATCCAGCAGTTGCGCCCCCAGCCGCCTACCTGCTGCCAGCTTCCCCGCGGCTTCCTTCTCATCCAGCTCCAGCTTGGCGCGCTGCTTCAGCGCGGCGTCGCGCTCCTTGGCCAGCGCGCGGCGCGCCTTCTCCGCAGACGCCTTCGCCTCCTGAAAGGGGGTGCGCAGCAGAGAGTAGGGCGCATGCTACTGTATGCGACAAACAGACAAGGGCGCTGGATGGCTCAGAAGCAGGGATGGTGCAAGGCTGCAATGCGCTTGCAGCGCCAACCAGGCGAGACAGGCATCAATATGTAGGCAGCAAGGCCCGGGGTACAGCCCGCCTGTTGCAACCCCCTACTCACCTGAGCCTCAGTGCTGGCCGCCTCCACCGCCACCAGCCGCTCCTTGGCCGCCGCGGCTTCCTTCTGGGCGGCCGCCGCCTCCTCCCCTAGCTTGGCGCGCTCGGCCTCGACCTGGGCGGTGGCGGGGGCGCAGTGGCCGGTGGTATTCTGCTGCCACTCACGGCCCAACCATGCAGTTGCAACCTTCAAACTGGGAAAATCAATCAACCCTGAATTGCAGCCCTGCGCACACATCGCAGTCACCCCACAGCAAAACACCCCACACAGCACGATTTGTGTGTTCACAGGAATAGCAAGCACACACACTCGAAGCGCGGCACCGGGCATATGGCGGGCAGCACTGGGAGGCGGCCCCCACCTTTGCTGCCTTGGAGCGCGCCTCCGCCAGCTCCTTGTCAAACAGGGCGTACTCAATGGAGCGGCGCTGGCGGTCCAGCGCCTGCAGGCGACGTGAAAGTGTGTGTTGTGGGGGGGGGTGGAGGGGAGGTGGAGGGGTAGAGGGGAGGTTTCACCGAGTGTTGGCTGCGAGATGACGGCGACCCCAGCAACGGGGCTGGCGTGAGGCACTGGTGCGCAAGGGGTTCCTCTATATGCAGGTCTCTGGTCCATGCATGAGACAAGGGTCTGCCGCTACCGATGGTGACGCAAGGGAGGGTCAAGCTGGCCATGCGCGGCGCCTGAGCCTCTGGCCGCCGCACCTGGAAAGCCGCCAGCTCAGCCTTTTCGGCGTCCAGCTCCTGCAGCTTGGACTCGATGAACTCCACCACCTCCTCGATCTGGCAGGGATAGCGCGTCGCGCGCGCGCGCGGGCGGCGGCACGGTCAGTGAGGAGGGGCACGCTGGTTGGCTGTTGATAGCGACGGCCCCCTTGGCGTGGCTGCCCGCGTGACGTCCGATATGGCGGCGAGACCAGGGCCGATGGCTGACCCACCCAGTACGAGACCCATGGTGGCAGGCCGCAGCGGTGTGGCCGCGCATCACCTGGGCGCGCCTGTTCTCCGTCTCCTGCATGATCTTGAGGCTCTCGCGGCGCCGCTCCTCGTACACCTGGCGGCGGGTTATGCCAATGCACAAAACGGCCAGGACGCCTCGGGATTGAGTCGTTTTGACTGCGCCCCCCCCCTATCTCGCAATGAGCCATGTCGAGTGGCCACCCGTCCCGGGTGACGGCTGGCCTGGCGCCGCGCCTTGCTCACCTTGGTGCCGCCAATCTCCTTGAGCAGCTCCAGCCTCTCGCCGTCCTTCATGTTGGCCATGCTCATGATCTGACGACGAGCGGCAATGGTCAGCAGGGCGGAGTGGCGCGCATGCATCCGCCACTGAGCAGCACAGCCACTGACACAATCACGCGCCAGACACTGCACTGGGTGCGGGCGGCCCTTGCGCCCGGCTGCCGCGATCCCACCCGCAACACGTCGACGCCCGTCGTCGCCTTCACAACACAAGCACAAGCACAACTCACTTGCGTGATCAGCACCCCACCCCCCAAAAAACAACCCACCTTGCCCTGCTGCACGATGTAGTAGGGGTTGGCACGGCTGAAACCCGCAGACTCCAGCAGGTTCATCACCTCCTGCTTGCTGCGCAGGGGGGAGCAAAGGGTGTAGAAAAGCGCCCAAAAAGGGGACTGAGAGCGCCGCTGCTGCCCAGCCGCACGCCCACCGCGCCTTGCAGCTCCGCAGCTTTGCAGCGAATGCAATCAACATAAGCCAGCGTCAACTGAGGGTTGTGGACAGCAAAACCGCACAGCGGCGCCAGAGCCGCATTGGGTTAGCACCACTTGTCTCCCCATCCTGAACATACACGCAGCCTCACGTGACGTGCTTGCGGTCCAGGGTGTACTCGTCCTTCTTGGCGCCAATGGTGCGGCGCAGGCGCACCTCGTCCTTGTCAATCTTTGGCACGCGAGTGGGCAGAGTGCTGGTGGGAGTGAGCACAACGCAACAGCGTGGCCTAAAAGAAGGCGACACATGCAGCATGCGCTGGTAAGGGTGACGATGCGACCACATGCATGTGACGTGTGACCATGTGGCACGAGTCACCTAGCTGCCCCACCGCTCTCGCACCGGGAAGCGGCCGTCGCTGTTGTCAAAGACGAGCTCTACAAAGGCCGACAGCACCGCATGGCCCGCACCCTCCTGCATGGCGGCGGCAAACAGGGCATGAGAGTGTTGCGCGCGTGAATCTCGGATTTGCAGCCTGCGGCAAGAGCATGCGCGACACTTTGCGTGCAAGTTGACATGCGCCTTGCCAGCAGGACCCCTGTCCAGCTGTTCATCGGCACAGCCCTGAGGCTGAGCCGTTCAGGTTCACGGCAGTGCTTGGAGTCGCATGGTCCAATGCGACCCCTGCATTCACGCTCACTGCTTGCATATGCATCTGCAAAATCATCCGCTTCTCTTGAGCGCTACTCGCGCATGCCACTCACATGCAGCAGTGCCTGCCGCTCCTCCTGGCGCATGCTTGTGAATGCATCGTTGAGCACAAAGCGAATGGCTGCGCGCGCAAGGCGGCACCACAGGGGTGCGGGTGTGAGGGCGTTGGAAATGTGAGTGCTGCCGGCACAGCTTCATCTGCATGGTGCCCAGCATGCATGGCCGACGTCCCACCTGGCAGGCTGCCGAACACACAACACGAGAGCCAATGCCGCTGCTGCTGCTGCCGCTGCTGCTGCCGCCAACGCTGCTTCTGCTACTGCTGCTTTTGCTGCTACTGGTGCTGCAACAGCCTGTCTGCTTTTGTGTGTGCGCCTCCCCCGCAACACCCAACACCCCTTAGCGCCACAACTGCAGACTCTGCCTCACCGTGGAAGAAATTCGACTTGCCCGACCCATTGGCGCCCACAATGCAATTGATTTTTGACGAGAATGGCTCTGTGATGGTCTGGTCCTTGTAGCTTTTGAAGCCATCGATGACTACCTGTGAGCTCGCGCAGTATCAGCAAGCATGCAAGGTGGGCGGGGGCAAAGCGCGCGCGGCGCGGCAGCGTCGCACAGAGAGGCCAGGCGTCTTGCAGCAGGCAGGCAGCGAGCGCTGCAATTACACATCAGTTACGACGCTGCATGGCGGCCCCAGGACGCTGGCTTGCCTGCTTGATATACATGTTTGCTACGCGTGGCGACCCTGGCCACCCAGGCGACCCCTTGATCTTATGTAGACAATTACAACTTATCCAGTTAATACTTTGCGCTGCAGCAGATCGGCAGAGGCTCGCCGTGCGTCAGCCTGTCACGCTGGGGATCTCGTGCCTTTCGAGCATGTGTATGATTTCTGTTTACATGTTTAGAAGTATTTTATAAGAAACGACGCAAACAATCTTTCGCATTTGCAAGCGGTCGATCACTGCTCGACAAGAAGGCGCCAACGCAATCGAACGTGCACTTGGGCCCTGATTTTAAACTTGGAGGTGTATAAGAGCTCAGAAAGACAATGAGCATGCAGACAGAAGGCAAATGGCGTGCCCACAGCAGCTACAAGCGCTGTCCCCCACGTCACGCGCAGCCTTCATTGTTGCCCGCCCCTTGCCGCTGCTGCTGCTGCTGCTGCTACTGCTGCTGCTGCTGCTGCTGCTGCTGGCCACTGAATAGCAGCGCGACCATTTCCCTGAAGTTGATGAGACCGTCGGCGTTCGTGTCAAGAGAATGAACCATGCGGCTGATCTCCACGGGCTCCACGCCGCTGGCCTGGCCGTAGGCAAGCTGCAGTGAGCCGCAAGCATTGGTCATCAGGGGATGTGAGGGGAGGGGAGGGAGTGAGATATAGGAATCGGCATGCCATATCAGGGAGCAGCGCAACCCAACCTTCACAGCAGTTGCGATGACAAAGGCGGCGACAATCAAGTGAGTGAGATGCTCACCAGCGCCCTCTCCAGTGTCTCAGGCGCGATGCAGCCTGCCGGCACGCTCCGGTCTGCAAATCGCCGAAACGCATGCACGAGCTCGCCCTGCATGTAGGCCGGCTTCTGCTGGGGGGCTGCCACAACCTGTTCATTTCAGAAGTAGTCATGCGTTTGAAATGCACAATTGGCTTCGTCAAGCTCGCTATGCAACACCTCACTGCATGACGGCACACCGTCTGTGATTCTCATGCACATGCACTTATTGTACGACAATCCTGTGCCGTACCACGCATCACCATGGCAGAGCTGTGTCCTGCGCGCGCCTGCAAGCAGAGGCGCCGATGCGCACCCCCAGCAGCAAGCACCATCGCATCACCACGACCGGCAGCAGGCAGCGGGCAGCGCACCTGCAAAAACTCGTCGAAATCCAGGGCGCCGCTGCCGTCCGCATCGACGCCCGCCACCAGCACCCGCGCCTCTGCGGCACTGACACGCATGCCAAGCATGCGCATGAGCGCCCTCACCTGGCGCAGAGCGAATAGCATGGGGTGCACAGTGAAGCAATGCTGCCAAGGGTGGGAGGCGGGCGAGCGGGGCGCCAGCTGAACGGTCGGGGCCTCCCAGCACGGCGCCCGCACCTCGCTGGCTGACAGGGTTCCGCCCTTGTCGGTGTCCAGCATGTCAAACAACTGCACACAAAAGAGAGGATAGCACAAGGAATCAGTAAGGTCGTCTTCGGTCACCACACTGTCCAGAGCGATTTCCAGCACTTGTAAGAGTTCTGCCATAATGCTGTTCTATGGCTCTTTACCCACCTCTCTGAGCTCTCCAATCTCCTCCCTGGACAGCTGGGGCGCTGTGCTCCCCTGCATATGCAGCAAGTACATGGTGCTTGCGCAATCGCTGCATCAGCGGCACCGACAACGCATCAGGGGTGACCTGGTGTTGTGACATCAAGGCAGCACGCATGCTGCGTACAGACATTTCATAGAGCTCACCCTCAACAACATGATTGGTGCAAGTGGCGCCCGGAGTCAAAGGTCCGCGCGGCAAACAGCGGGGAAGGAAATACCGGTACAGTATACCGTAGTGGCACCAGAGATATTGCAGATATCACGAAGGTTTCAATTGTGGTTTAGTCATGCCAGCTCGCTCGCTCGCTGTGAACTGTGTGCCATGCACGCCAGCGTGCTCCCATTGCCACACCCCCGCGAAACTCACGCCCTTGCTGCCACCCTCCCCTGCCTCCACCACCACTGAGCGGGCATTAAGGGTTTGACTGTTGATCAACCTATGGCAGTTGCTCACTGTTGCAATCCAAACTGGGTCACTGGCACATCTTGACATTGATTGAACATCACCCCCACACATTCGGCCATCGCTCACACTGCCACTCACATGCCCGCGGCGCGCTGCAAGCAGGGCCCCAGCCTCGCACCGCGCTGCGACTGCAACACGTGCGCGCTGTTTGTGTACGTGTGTGTGTGTGTGTGTGTGTGTGTGTGTGTGTGTGAGTGAGAGCAGGGGCAAACATGATCCGAGGCTTGTGCAAAGTGCGGGCCTGCCATACGACGGCAGGGCCGGAGAACATCAAAGGGAGTGTTGCAAAGCCCAGGCCTGTAGGTTGGGAGCGAGGCGGCTGCAACACTGTTGGCCCCATCAAGCATACGCCTTGTTGCTTCTGAAACTGGAGCGAGAGGTCGCGTTGGGACGGTACAGCGAGCCTGAACCGCAAAATCCCTGCCAGCCCTTGATTCCAAGAGGCCATGCAGGCTGGCACGCGGGGCACACGGGGGCCGGTTGGGGGCGGAGGTGACGATGGTTCCTGTGCTTGGGCCGAGCAATTTAAGAAGTCCTGCCCAGTTTGCAGCAGCATGACGTGTGTATTGCTTGCTCACAGGAGTTGATTTGTACTGTATGCATTTTCCGCACGCATCGAAGTGGGTGGCACCCTGCAGCTGCCTGAGAGTGCTGCACCAGGACCCTGCTCGCCCCCTTTGCCCCGGTTCAAATAAAGCCAAATCTGACTCGGTCCAGCGTTGGCGGTGGCCATGACACTAGAGAGCGCACCATCCGCCCATCCCTTCCCTGTCACTGCAAGCTGGCTGTACAGGTATGCTGCGATCAGCAATATCCTGCTATTACGTAAGCCTTCGATGACATTCTAGATCGCAATCATGATGCCAACTTCGGTGGTGGTAGTGTTACATCCTGTGTGCGCCATATGTAAGGCGCCATTGGAGCCAACGGAAAGGCACACAAAGCACAGGTGGTTTGCAGCCCACAAATCTCAACACAGCAATATGCACTTGCAGCAATCCATTGCTCGTGTGGCTGTTGTACAAATGTCCGCAAAGGGGCTCACTCGAGAGCGGCAGCTCTGATCAACAGCGCAATTCGTGACTTGGCACGCGAGGGGTTGGGTAGGCACAGCACCGGCAACTGCGCCGGCCCTGCATCGCCTGCAGCGCGCTCACTCCTAGGAGTGCAGGCCTGCAGTTTTGCACAGGCCTGAATACCGCAAATGAAGGGTGCAATCCAACTGCCTTGGCGACTCAGTTGGTCCCAGGGTGCTGGGGTACTGAGAAAACAAAAGATTGCGCTTGTAGCAATACAGTGTGGACTGCCTCCCAGCAAATTGTGTTGCAAATGCTGCCATAATCAAACGACAGACAGGTGATGATGACGGCAAAGGTCAGGTCTCAGGCCCCGTCGTGCCGGTCTGCCCAGGCCAGTGCCGCAGCGCGCTCATGATGTTACGCCAGACTGGGTGGCGCTGTGCGCAGGTGGCGGCCATACTGGGGCCTGTTGTAATTGGGCCTGTTGGGCCTGAGCTTGGGCAAGTAACCTGGCCTGTCGCGACCAGAACCAGACGAGAGGGACTGAAGGGATGGAGTATCGTCGTCTTGAAGCAGACGGCGGCTCCCAGTCGTCTCGAGGAGGACAGCGGATGAAAGCGGCCTTGCGGCGGCGTTGGCGGCCTGGGACAGCAGCCGACGGCCCTGCGGCATGTCAGTGGCGGGGGCAGGGGAGGGGGAGGGGTTTGAAGATGCCTTGGCGGCAGCCTTGGGCTCAGGCGCCTTCATCACAACGCCTCCATGCGCGGTGGGGGGTGAGGCGGAATGGGAGCGCATCGGCTGCAAGCGAGCGCTGCCGTTGCGTTGGCTGCTGACGGCAAGGCAGGCGGCTTGGTAGTCACCTTGTTTGGGGCCGCGGCGTTCGCCACCACTAGCAGAGCCGCCACCATCAGGAGGGCAAGGGCTGAGCGCTGCATGTTTCTCGGCGTCCCTACCACTGGGGCAAGCCGCAAGTCCAAGAGGAAAGTGTGAAAGTGCGGGATGGCGCGGGAGGGTGTCAGCTGCAGCGCCAGATGGCTTCAAGATGGCAACGGGTTCTGCATTTAATGCAGTTCAACAACTACACGCCGAGAGAATCCGCGGCGCAGAGTCAGGTGAGGGCAGCAGGATGGGTGGGCGGGCTCACTCTGATGACGCAAGCAATCACGCCGTCTGTGCCCACCTGGGTAATCCGCGTTGTTGCTGTCGGTAGGCGAAAGTGTAAAGTGCTTCAACGAATTGAATCAGCTGACTTATATTGGTCGGGGAGTTGGCCGGCTGGCTTCAGGTCCCTGTCGTCATTCACGCAGTCATGCGATGTCACGAAGGCGCACAAGCCGTTGCCCTAGAGTTCGAACAGACCTGTGCGATGATGATACAAGGGATATCGATTGGCATCACATACTGCCTTTGGCAGCGGCCCCATGCTTGCCTGCATGCGGCGCCTCGTCCTTCGTCATGTTGACCTACGGGCGCGCCAAAGATTCAAAGATGCCCCCAAGCGCCGTGCCCGGTCAGCAGCCCGCCGGCACCAGTGAGCACCGCCTTGCAATCCCGACAGGGCACGGTGTCACCAGGACATAGGCGCATTGGCGCACGTATGCTGAAGATCCGGGCGATGCCTGGCCACCTGCACCAGTGGCCGCGTCTCTGTTACAGAACGAGAAGCTGCCCAGGTGTGAGTGATTGGCGGTAATGTTGGCGCCTCCTTTGAAGGTTGGTGGCGGAGATGGTGCTGGTGCTGGTGCTAAGACAACCCAGCAGTCCTGCCCACCCAGCAGCATCATGGGTGGTTGCATCGCTTCCTCACAGGAGTGGACTCTGATGCACTTAGCGCCCAAGTCAAAGTGGGTGGCCCTGGCAGCAGCGTGGTAGTACTGCACCAGCGCCCTGCCCGCCCCCCTGCGCCCAGGATTTCACACTCACCACTCATCTGTTCGCGGCCTGCAAAGCAGCTGGCGCCTGCGATGACACAGCCGCCAAGCGCCACTGCGGTAGTGGTGCTCGGCTCGCGGCAGCCGTTGCACCCTCAGCAACATCTGCGCCAAATCCAGCGCGCCGATGCGGCTCAGCTGCGCAAACACCGCATCCGCAATGCCAGCAGGCATGCCAGCAGCAAATGCGGGGCTGTGCAAGACCTCACCGATCGTATGGACGTTATTGCTGCCGAGCCCATCACTCGCATCCATGTCGTCGTCCAGCCCAAACAAATCAGCAAGAGCTGCGGCTTCAGCCGGCAGACCGCTGGGGTTGAGTAACTTATCTATCGCTTGGGTCGCCTCCCGCAGGCCCACCATTATGAGGGATAGCCCCGTCGACGTCGCCAGCGTCGCCACGACGGTGTGCGGCACCTGCCGCCGCGCCTTCTGAGGGCGCTGCAGCAACCGCCCCGCGCCTCGCCGCAACCGCCGACGCCAACTCCAGCAAGGAAATTCTGGATGTCGCCCTGATCCCACCCACCGCACCACGCACCGCACCCACGGCCTGGCCACCACTGAGCGTAGACACAGCGGGCGCTGCCGCTGGAGCGGCCCGCCTTGCGCTGCGCGTTGGCGCCCCGAGCACTACGTCCCGGGCGCTGTCCGCCCGCTGCGCTAGCGCATACTCTGCAGCGCGCCCCAGCGCTTTGCGATATCGCGCCGGCGGGGGCACTGGCACCACAGCGCGCTGCGCACGGCCGAGGCCCGCCGGATCGTCATCAGCGTCGCAGCCCTGCCCGCTGCTTGCCTGCCACGCCGTGCGCTGGGCTGCGGGCGCACCCAAGAAGCCAGCAGAGCCGCCCTAGCTGCTGCCCATGTCCATGTGAACCTACAGGCAAGGCGCCGTACACAAAAAAACCGGGGTATGGTCACCCACAGCACCAGGAGTGTCGACCACGCGTGTGGGCGAGCACAGCGGTGCAATACATAATACAACAGTGCCATCCCACCTGAAGCTCACGCACCTCACTCACGCTGCATGCCCGCTCACTGTCGGTCGCCGGCTTTCAAGAAGTCCGTGCGGCGCCGGTGACATGCGTGAGTTATCACCGCAAGAAATTACGTAAATACGGTAGCCTTCAAATCGACAGACCCAGCAGCGGGGGAATCCCTTCCCGTCGATGACGGACCCATTCGGGATCTGATTCCGGGCAAGAGACCTGCTGACCGAGCAATAGCAGGCCGAAAGCACTCAGCATCTGCGCCAGGCACGCATTTCGCGGCATAACATCGCCCTCAGCAATATCCGAACAGCCAACATGCCACACCCCACAAGCGACCGTCAGTCACGTGAGCAAGAGTCACTATGGCCGCTGGAAACCTTGCCCAGAGCGCACGCCTGAAGTGTGCAGCCCAGCCCGCTGAAGCCCTCTGAGACTCTGCCCATCATAACATAATGCTGCTTGCCGCACACTTGTTCCTTCGATCCCCGGTGAGACGGTGACGGCTGACTACGACTCCAATGTAGTTGAGGTGTACTTCTATAATGCCCCCTACTACCTGTTTCCGCCTCTGGCTGGCCCGCGCACGCCCCACTCCCGGCTCACTCCGCTCGCCCCCCCCCCTCGCCCT